TGCCCATGGTTTTACATTTGGTTTAATTGAGACTGCTTATCTTTCTGTTGAATATAACCTAGTTGGTTGAATGGGTTAGTCCATCGAGCTTAGAAGGCAGTCTTAAAACAATAAGTTTATATAGGCAGGCACATGTGCTCCCTTTTGTACTATTAACCATGGTTTTGTTCTCTGGTGCAGCATAAAAGATGCTGCACCAGAGAACAAACCTGCCCTCTCCTTACACTTGTTAAAGTAAGTTTGTAGTGAACCTAGAAAGATGAATAACCACTTACTGGAGCAAAGCTCAGAGAAGTTGTCTTTTAGATTAAAATTCCTGAGGTCCCAAGTAAGTCTAACTGTGGTCCAAAAATACTAGATCGTATGCAGTCCTCTTTTCACCCCACTTTTCTCAACCATCAGAATAAGAGTCAACACATTCTTTTCAAGTTCTTCAGATATTCTTATGTGTAACACAAAAGAGGACAAACAATCATTTTCAATGCAGCAACTCAAGTTTTACAAGGTCATTTTTGCTTGGATGGTATGCACAAGCTATAGGCAACCCATGTAGTTGATGTGAATGGATTATTTCAGCATAGATCATATTTGTGTTGTGGTTGACAAGTTATTGTCATTTTCCTCACCCATGAGAGACTCTTAAGCATTTTAAAGCAACTTGTAAATCTCAAAGAGTGAATGGAGATTAGTGGTGGTATATATCTAAATAGGACATTTACAATTATTTGAAACATATTTAGAGCATAAGGAGAACTGAAACTCAGCTGTAGCTCCATTGAATTCATATAACGTTGGATGTGGGATATTAGTTTTTAAAAATAGTTTTGTTGGAAGCTTTGAAATGTTATAGGAGAAACTGGCATTTTTCACTTGGTCTGCATTTACTAGAATAAATATTGTGGTCTAAATGTCTGCTACTAAGAATATTTGTGGAAGCAGAATACTATTACAATTGTACTTTCTTATTCTGTGTTTTTCATCAACACTGAACATTCAAGAAAATTATGCAGAGTAGCTTCAGGTTTTCATAAAGTTAGATTTTTCCATTCCTAAGTACAACTTGACTATCTTTTATTGGAAATGCATGATTTCTTCAGATTTTGGAATATGTGTACTTAGATATTGTCACCACACTTTTGTGGTTTTAAGTCTTATAGATTTGATCCTTCATTAACTTTCTCTAGAAGACCTAGAGATTTTCAGAAAGAACGCTTCTCTAGGAATCTCTTATGTCCTCCGGTGCAATTATATAATCAGTTTCCAGTGGAATTTAATCATAGAATCACGCTGGAAGACCTGCATATTCCTAGATAGGTTTCTCACAGGTAAATCATAGATTCATAGAATCATAGATACTATAATATATACTAATAATATATGAATACTAATAATATATGAAATTTGTTATTCATAGTTACTCACTTTCATAGGGGTATTTTGGATTTTGGAATTTCAGATAAGGAAAGCTCAACCTGTTTTGTCTTCAACAGCTAGGAATTACTGGCTCTTTAGGTGTACCTTACTGAAGAATTAAACCTTAGTGGGGAATTATACCTCAGTGGTATTTAGGCAGTGACTTGAAAATGTGACACATTGTATTCCTGCTTTGTACTAGCTCTTTGGTGTTGGCATTGGCAAGATATTATTTTTTAAGTTGTTTTGAAGGCAACTATAGATATGATCTTTAGGGAACGTGCAGCACCATGCAATACTGGATTCAGATCTTTATCGAGTCCTATTATTTCCATTCACTTAGGTTTCTTCTCCTGCTTCTCTGTACCTTCCTAGGAGTAATAGCCACCATAGTGTTAGTGTTTCAATGTTAGGCTAGGACTTCAGGAGACCAGAGTTCAAGTCCCTGCTCAGCAGTGGAAGCCCACTGGGTGATCTTGGACAGGTCACAACCTTAGAGGAAAGCAATTGCAAACCACTTGTGAAAAGAAAATGACAACAAATCCCTATAATAGAATTTCCATAAGTTGGACCCACATTTAAGACACATAAGAAATAATGTAAGCATTATGTTACATGTGCAAAGCTTGTTCTTACCACTAAGACTCCACTCATTGTTCTACTAATAATAGTTTCAAGTATTTTTGTAGTCTTTCAGGGGCCACCTTGGTGTAGGAAACTGTAGTGATTATATTTCCAAATCCTTTCACTCTGTATTTTTTGGTTCTTTTGGTCACCATAGCCAATTCTGCCTTGCTTAAAAGCTTTCCAAAGTAAACTGCCTTTTCATAGTTGTTTAGTGTGGTTTGGAAAAGGTTACAGTTTTCCTAAGGAAGCTGTCTCAGGTATTATGTTTGGATGCCAGCATCTGAAGTGTACAGAATTTTATATGCTCTTTAGGACTGTTCAGCAATAACTATAAAATCAGACACTCCCTAAGTGAATTTGGACATAAAACTTTGCAGTTTCTGTCAGGATTTTTTTAAAGGATTATTCATGTGTGCATAAGACACATCTCCTTTGTGTATGTTTGTCTTGGTAAGCTGTGAGTAATGAGAGAGATTCCTGCATAGATGTGTGCTGAGTCTGAGGTTTTTCATACTCTCATGTTCATGTGTGTTAGCATAGGTAAAATAACATTGTGAAGACAGTTCCATGTTCTCAAAGACTTTTAAAAAAATACTCTTTCCTTACAGCTTATACTGCAATTTGCTTTCACTCATGTTTATCTAGTCATCCTACTATTATTTTAAGGATATAGGCAAATTCTATGGCTGCTGTTTTTATTGACCATAATGAAAATCTTCATTTTATTAGTATTTATTCTTCATAGGAGCCTCCGGTGGTGCAGCGGGTTAAACCGCTGAGCTGCTGAACTTGCTGACTGAAAGGTCGGCGGTTTGAATTCAGGGAGTGGGGTGAGCTCCCGCTGTTAGCCCCAACTTCTGCCACCCTAGCAGTTCAAAGTAGATCAGTAGGTACCACTTTGGTAGGAAGGTAACAGCTCTCCACGCAGTCATGCAGGCCACATGACCTTGGAGGCGTCTATGGACAACACCGGCTCTTTTGTTTAGAAATGGAGATGAGCACCACCCCCCAGAGTTGGACACGACTAGACTTAATGTCACGGGGAAACCTTTACCTTTACCTTTATTCTTCATAAAGGAATGTCAGCACCTTAATTTTTCACATTCTTCGTGTGTAAAACAGTATCAAAATTTAAGTCATTTTATTCTAATGCCTGTGTGGTTATCTTTGTCACCCTTTATTGGATCCAAATAAGATTACTAACCTTTACACAGTGGCTAATATTCTTTCAAATGCTTCTCATAATTGTATTTGCTTTTACAAAAAGTATAGTACTGTGGTCCTTATTCTCAAAGCTCATTCTTTTCTGATCTATATTGTTTAATCCCCACTAGCGTCTTCTTTCCGTTACCTAAATTAGCATCTATATTTATTTTATTTATTTATTTATTTACAGCTTTTAAAATCCTCCCTTCTCACCCTGCAGGGGACTCAGGGCGGATTACAGTGTACGCATGTATGGCAAACATTCAATGACATTTTTGACATACAAACATATACAGACATACACAGAGGTTATTTAACTTTTTCTGGCTGCCATTTAATGATTTCAAGCAAATAAGAATAATGATAAAGTAGAAGTAAGGAGATAAGGAAGGATATTTAAAAGAGTCTGCTAGGAATAAAAATATATTGTAATCAATAGAAATGTAAAGAAAAAGTAAACACAAGAAGTATGTCAAATTAAACCAGTAAATAGGCTTAATGTCTATAGCTATATGAATGAAAGTAGGTGTTTAATATTGTTCATAAATATGGGAGTTTAGCATTGCACTGGTTTTAACCTTCCTAAACATTTGGAATAGATCAGGATGTCTGTCAGAAACCTTGAAATCTTTCCTTGAAAACTATAATTTAGTGATTTATGTATGTCAAACGTTAATTCTGCTGTGTGTTTTTTTAAATAATCTGTTGATGCTTGATCTTTCTGACTTTTGTTGATTTTTATTGTTCTATTAGTAACATTGCTTTAATTAATGTATTTGGCACCATATTACATCTCCTCTAAGGCAGATTTCACGTGTGCCACATTGTCCATATTATAAAGAAGACCTTCCTGAACATGTCCTCCATTTTTTGTGTGTGAATTGTCAAGCCAGTTTTCAGGAAATTGGTCATGTGCCTTGTCAGATGATGTTTGATATCCCACATAGCCTATATTTGAGTAGGACCGTCCCAAAATATCATCCAGATTTGATATAAATTTGAGGAAATATGTAGAATGTCCCAAAAGTGTCTCTCAAAAATGGATACAGCCTTATTATCTTAGTTTTAAATCAAACATTTCCAGTCATGCATTTTGCATAAATTCATAATACAGCAATTCTCACTGCCTTCTGTATGCAAGCACCTATTGAATGTGTTTCTCTCAACTTAGTTTTAGTTCTCAGTTCTGACAGTGTAGGCGAGGATAGCGTGTGTGTATATATATGAATGAGGTTTCTTTTTATCGACCTGATCAGGTTCTCACTTCTTCCCAGGTGTTCCAGACAATTCACCCAAAGACACTGACATTGAAATCTGTTAGGTGGCATAACATTTCAGCTCTTCTACTGTAAAAGAACGGCTATTTTAGCTTATCTAGATTTTTTATCATCAATGCAATTATATTCATTGTATTTTAAAATTCTTTTTTTTAAAAATCAGTAAATTTTCTTTCCACATTTCCCTGACCAGAATAAATTCAATTGCTACCAGTTGCCTTCTGTCTCCCCATATCCTTAAAGCAATACTTATATGCAAAATTATATTATTCTATTAAAGAATGATAATGTTTCATTTACGTTTTGGGTCTCAGTGTTGGAAAGCATCATAATCATATCTCTTTGGAAAGACCTTTTGAATTTTCTCTGAATTTCCCCACTTATCACACAAGTACTTGATTTAGAGAAATGAAAGAATAAAACTGCAGTTGAGACATAGCACAAATGTAAGTGAAATCTTACATTGATTCTTTACAGAAACTGTTTGGCCCAAAGTTCGAGTTCCACTGAAAGTTGTACGGACCACAGAAAACAAACTGAGTAACCGCTTCTTCCCCTATGATGAGATTGAAACCGAAGCAGTATTGGCAATTGATGATGATATAATCATGCTGACCTCAGATGAACTGCAGTTTGGTTATGAGGTAAGATGGCTCCTGATCCCTACAATGTTTAAGATGATGGAACAAATGCTGTACCATGATACATAATTTGAGGACAATTGTATCAGTTAGCCCAGAGTTTGACAAACTGTGCTCCTCTAGATGTTTCGGACTTCAGTTCCCACAATTCCTAACAGCTGGTAAGCTGGCTGGGAGCTGAAGTCCAAGACACCTGGAGGAGCACAGTCTGAGAAACACTGAGTTAGCCAGTCAATTCTGTGCACTTTCAGGGAATGCTTTCTCTTGTCATTCACACCCAGCTCTTCACTACCTATCTTCCCCATGGATTTTGAAGGCAGAGCATGGACCTTCCTTGCCCCGTAAGGCTATCAAGAAGAAATCTATTCCAGACAGTCAGGAGATGGAATTATTAGACAGAAGCCTACTAGGAAAGATGAAAGCCTATACAGGTTCAAGGTTCCTTATTCTGAAATCTTAACTACTCCAAAATTCAAAATATTTGTGGAAGCTCAAATGCTATTTGCGTGGTCTGTTATTATTTATGAATAAAATTATTAGCATGCATAAAAAGCGTAAACTTAATAACAGCACTGAGAATAAAAACATGTAACATGTTGCAACATAAAACTCAAGAGTAATGACATTTGTGCCATTTGCTAAATAAGCAAATGGGAAAATCAAAATGTATTTTCCCCCAAAAGACAATTGACTGGTACTTCCTAGGAATGACAACCTGTAATCACTTGCTCTTCTTAGAAAAGAGCCTCTGAAGTTTTTATGTATTTCTATCTCACACATTCACATCCAGCCCATAATAGATTATCTAGACAGGTTACAGATTATAAATAAATGCAACCATAAAACATAGTGTGAACAGTGAAAAGGAAAATATATATTTTGTCCAAATTATCATTTTAAAAGCCTGGATAAATAATGAGTTCTTCACCTTGGGTGCTGAAATACATACAGATTGGAGCCTCAGTAGTTGCTGGAAGACTATGCGGTGCATTGCAAGAAATACCATTGAGATATCACGTTCTTTTATCTTATTTGTTAGGCTCTCTTAGAGTACAGTGTGTAGCCTTTGAAGATACAAAGTTATGGCTAGGTGTGTATGAGAGAAAGACCCAATATTTTAGAATCTGATCCTGTCTTGTCTTGGAGGCTAAGCAGGGTTAACCCTGGTTTATACTTGGATGGAAGGCTGCCAATAAATACTATGTGCTATGTGTTGTGTGTCAGAGGAAAACAGGGCTATTCCTTGCCTAAGAAAACCTTACAACTGGAACATATACACACATAAGTAAATTGAGATTGAATTGGTCAAGTTCTTTGAAATTACAACTAATATTATGAATTAAGGCCTAAAACAGATTAAGAACTATTACTTCTGAAAAATTATAGTCATAATGGCGTCCTTTTCTTGATCTAGTACAGTTTCTGAACTATTTTAAAAGTATTCTCATGAACAATGCTTGTACATGCACAGTATTTTAAACTGAACATGGATTTTTCTGGCCAAATTGTTTCCATAAAAATGAGATTCCAGTTATTGTATTGTATTGGCCAATGCTGCTACCAAGGTACACTGAGCCACGGGGATTACTTAAAGCTCTGCCAGATAAGTAATCAACCCCCCTCAACTACAGATAAGAATGTAATCTAGTTGACATCTTGGGTCTCATTTTCGGAGAAATATGAGAGAAGAACAAAGAGAGAATCAGGCATACAAAGAGATAGACCATTAATTGAAATGGATTAGCCAGCAAGGAAAAAGTGGCCTTAGAGTCTCACTTAGAGCTATAACTATAGGATCAGGATGAAATGATGTTATCCTAGTACATTTTGGAATAATCAACAGAAATATTGTGTCCAAAGGCATAAAAAGATAAGAAGAAGTGAGTCTTGGATTTTGTGGGTGCAGTGAATGGGAAAGGGGTGGGGGGCATTGAAGAAACAACAGAAGATCGGAATACAGCATTGTGGGACTATCTTAAAAGTAACAGCGAAGGTCTGCACTCACAGAGCATGTGTCATAGAAGCTGAGGGTGGGAGAGTTGGGCGAAAGTAGCAAGACGGCAGAAAACATCAAAATGGAGTCTAGCAGAATTGGGCATTTGATCTTGTTTTTTCTTGAGTTTGCCCACTCTTCAAGAAGCAGTGGAGAGAGAGGTTTTTGAAAATTTGAGGATGGGAAAAAGATGACCTAATTTCTGAATCAGGGAATTAATGACTTGATTAAAACATTGAAACTGGTGTGTAAACAATACCTTTGTCAAAAAGCTTCAGATTTCTTTTTCAGACCCACTAAGTCAGTTGAAGTTATATGGCTTAACTTTGATAATTGACATTCTGACCCCAAGAAATAATAAAATATATATGGAGAAAGAGAAGATTAATGATACCATATGTGTTTCCAGATGGAGAAATTCTCCCATGGGAATTAATGGTTATGTGGGCAGCAAAGCTTATGCTTTCTTGTTCTCAGGGATCATCCAGATAGGATGTTAAAGTATTGCCAGTCAAGAATTGTAACAGCAGGATGGGAGTGTGGACAGGTGCCAGACTCTGCTAGATTTGCAGTGGAAAACGTTACAGGTGAAAATGCAGTATATAAAGTGGAAAGCCATGTTGGGTCTGTGCGGCTCTACAGTGCAAAGTTAACAGACCATGAGTTTGTTCTTGTTTATTCGTTCAGTTGTTTCTGACTCTTCGTGACCTCATGGGCCAGCCCACGCCACAGCTCCCTGTTGGCCATGGCCAGTCCCAGCTCCTTCAAGATCAAGCTAGTTACTTCAAGAATACCATGCATCTTGTCTTGGTCAGCCCCTCTTCCTTTTTCCTTTCATTTTCCCCAGCATCATTATCTTCTCCAAGCTTTCCTGTCTTCTCATTATGTGGCCAAAGTACTTCATCCTTGCCTCTAATATTCTTCCCTCTAATGAGCAGCCGGGCATTATTTCCTGGAATATGGAATGGATTGATCTTCTTGTACTCCAAGGCACTCTCAGATTTTTCCTCCAACACCACAGTTCAAAAGCATCTATCTTCCTTTGCTCAAACTTCCTTATTGTCCACTCTCACATCCATAGGTTACTGCGGGGAATACCATTGCTTTAACTATGCAGATCTTCGTTGAGATCATGAGTAGTCCAGCTTTTTCACTGAAGCCTACTGAGCTCTGTGGCAACAGGCAGCCTTCTCGGTGGTGGCCCCCCGGCTGTGGAACACCCTCCCTGTTGACATCAGACAGGCGCCCTCCCTTATGGCTTTCCGTAAGAGCCTAAAGACCTGGCTATTTGAGAAGGCATTTAACTGAGTGCTACATTGACTGGTAATGACATCTGGAACGGAATATGGATTATGAGACTGGTTATGATTCTATGTTATGACGGTGCGGATTAGTTAGTGTAATTTAGATTAGTGTGTATTATTGATATGTTGATTTCTTGTTGTGCTTTATTGTAAACTGTTTTTATATGTTGTACACCGCCGCGAGTCGCCCTAGGGCTGAGAGAGGCGGTCAACAAATGCAGCAAATAAATAAATAAATAAATAAATAATAAATTTTGTCAGCTTAGTCTCCAATTGCAGCCTTTTATGATGAGAGAGAATCTCTCAAATTGATCAGTTTCCCTTTGGTAATTGTTACTGGTCATTTTGAAGATGATATAGTGATGTTTAAAGAATTTCACTAGCTCTCTTTCATTTTTAAGGGTAGCACAACTAAATGGCAGAGAGAGCTTTAGTAGTTTGATACCTAGTTACTTTATATACTCGTGTATAAGTCTAAAAACTGTAGTCAGAAACTTGACCCCAAAAATCTGGGTTGGTTTATCCACTTATCAAAAAAGAACCTGTTCACTTCTTGTAAGTGCAGTGTCAGAATGCAAGGCCACAGTCCATCCCAGTAGAATCTAAAAGAATCACTAACCTTCTCTACTCTCTCCACTGCTTCACTGCTTCTGGAATTTTTGAATACTGAGTGGGAAAATTACAGCTTAAATCTTTAGTTCTCCCTCAGTTGAGCACTGAGAGAGTAGAGGAAGTTGTTGTTTCCTTTAGGGTCTTCCATGGTGGATTGTCGTCCTCCCTTTAGTTACTCTGTTCAGAGAAAGGGATGGTTCCATTTTTTACAAGAGTTAATTCTGTACATTAGCTTTTATGAAAACAGGAGCCACACCTTTTTTGTGTAAAATCATGAAAGGCCATTTTGAAACACTGGGCAGGAAAATGAGTGCAGCTTAGGTGCAGCTGTTGCTTTCCCCTCTCTGTGGAATGACCCTCAACGTATCCACAGCTCAAAACAAAATCCATAATTTGGGCTCCAAAACCTGCCATTGAATTATACATGAGGTTCATTTACAGTAATATATACAGTACCAAAAGAAACACGTGCTTCCAAATCAGTTTAGATAATTTTCCACTTGCACCAGCCATCTGGAAATGTAAACTAGTCATAGAATGATAGAGTTGGAAGGGAGCCAAAGCTATAATGTCCAGTCGCAACCTTTTTTTTTTTTTGAAGGAGATGCCACTACATTTTAAGGTAATTGGCTCCATTGATGAATTGTTCTTACAATCAAGAAGTTCCCTCTAATGTTTGGTTAAAAATCTACCTTCCTGTGGGTTAAAACCATTGAACTTGGTCTCACCCTCTGGGTCAACAGAGAACAAACTTGAACCCTTCTCTCTGTGGTCACCTTTGAGATATTTTAAAGGTACCATCATGTCATCCTTCTGACTTCTCTTTACCAGGCTAAACATGTCCAACTTCCTCAATTTTTCATATGTTTTGTTCACATTTCTCCAATCATCCCTGTTACCCTTGTTTAGTCCCTCTGGGCCTGTACCATATGAAGCTTAGAAAGCGCCAATGAAAGAATGGCCTTCCAGATATTAAATGATCCACCTGAGAGGGCTGACATCAACTTTGTCATCTTTTAGGTGTCAGGTGAAGATGTTTCTAATAGAGACTTGCTTGGCTCAGGACCTTAAAGATCACTTTTCCCCATATGGGA